AGTCCAGACGGGGTTGCAGCCTCTTCCTTATAATTTCTTTTGCTGCTTGGCTTATGCTGCTGCCTGTTTGTGTACATAGAGCAGCAGCAGCAGCAGCAGGAGCAGCAGGAGCTGCGGATATCTGAGCTGCGTGGCTCTCAGTCTCTGCTGCGAGGTGTTTGTCTTTGTTGTTGTGTGGTGTTGCAGGTGAAGCAGGTGTTTCTGCTGCTGCTGTTGTTTGTTTGTTTCTTGCCCTTGGTGGCATTTCCTATTGAACTAAAGAAAGAGAAAAAAAGACAAAAGACACAAAGATAAAAAGAAAAGACAAAGATAGAAACAACAGCTGCTGCTTCTGCCTCGCTACAAGATGAGGATACCCTTTGGGGGGCGTCGTTCTCTGTTTTCTGCTTTTCTTCTTTTAGCTGCGCATGCAGCAGACAGCCGGTGGGGTTGTTGTTTATTTGTAGATGCAAAGAGAGAGGGGGGGACCCAGCTGCGGCCTCTGGTTGATGGCTTATCCCCCCCCTCAGTAGCAGAGGAGTCGAAACCTTCCTCTCTGCTGCAGGAGCGCGCAGCAGCAGCAGCAGCAGCAGCAGCAGCAGCAGATGTTGACGATGTTGCAGCTGCGTATGAAGAGGAAGTATGCGAAGCTCAGCAGGCGATGAGCTCTTATCTAGAAAAAGAATTAAAGAAACTACAGGACCCCTCATCAGCATGGGTTTCTTTTCTTTCTCAACTAGCAGNCTAGAAAAAGAATTAAAGAAACTACAGGACCCCTCATCAGCATGGGTTTCTTTTCTTTCTCAACTAGCAGCAGCAAAAGATAATAAAGATGTATGCATGCAAACAGAAACATCATCGGGTTTATGTGAGCTGCCGCAGGATGAATCAGGAGCAGCTCAGCCTCTCCCATGTGGAGGAAAAGAATATTCAGAGTTAATAGAGAAATATATAAAAACAAAAAACTGTGAATTGTCGCTGGCTGTAAGTGAAACGTTGTTGCAGAACTGGATAGGGCACAGCAACGAGCCGGGTATATTCTCTCGTTTATCGAATTTATATTCATCAGCAATGGAATATAATAATATAGATTCAGATTTATATTATATTTATGAAAATTCAAATAATTTAATTCATGAAATACTGCAGAAAGCTGAGGAAAGCGTTGCAGCTTTCCGTTCAGCTGAGGTGAAAGCTGTATTTCTGAAACGACGACGAGAGCTGGTGGGCTTGTTGTGTGCATTGGGTCGAGGATCTGATGCTTCTTCTCTTTCTTCGGATATTATATTAACAGAAAATGTTTTAGTTTTACGAGGAAACTTTGAACAAAGTATAGAAGAAGCTTTCGCTGCGTTTCTGGCTGCTGTTGATGCCTTTGGTTCTTATGCACGCGCTCTATTGCAAGATGGTGGTTTCCTTGATAGAGCTGTAGAAATACATAAAAATTATCATAAATTCAGAATGAGTAAATTAAATATACTTCTTTCAGATATAGAACCAACAGAAAACGATGCAACAGACGGAGAAGACCTCATGGAGTTGGTGCCGCATCCGAAATACAAAACACACAAAA